AAGTTATGTTCGGTACTTTTAAATAAATGATCTTCATCTAGGTTAGAGATGAAAAGAGGGAAGAAGAAAAAGGAGCTAATCTGTCCACCTCAAGTGGTGGACTCACTGAGAAGCCGAAGAGGAGTGTGTGGTGAGGGGAAGGGAGAGGGGCCTGCTCCCTGCTGATGCTCGCGTGCTGAGAGGCAAAGCCAGGGTACACACGGTGTGTGGATGAGCCACTGCGCGTGACAGGGCAGCTCTGTGAAGCATGACAGTGGTGGCACATGGGAACTCTGCAGATGGACAGGAAACCCCTAGGTTTGGCACAATTTCCCAAAGTCACTGCTAAGGGATTTAAGACTCACTAGGCCCAGGAGAGGCCAAAGTAACACCCCAGACACTGGGGGGCTAGCAGGTGTCGAGTAAAGACTAGAGGTGGCAGAAGAAGCTATAAATATCAAATACACTGCATCAGTATTGTCTGCCATTATTGGAAACTGAGTTATGCCTTCAAGGCATCCTTTTCCAAACTTTCGAGCCTACTCAGACTTGTTGTGGTTGGTTTTAAAGATGAGTTTTAGAAAAGAAAATATCCGTCTATGTAAAACAATCCACTCTTCACTTTAATCCACATTAACCAAGAGAAGGAAGAACACACATATACACATAAAGAACACGCCATGCTGCCAGCTCAGGCACATGGTGTCCTGTGGGTCTCCAGATTTCTGCTCTTCTTTCCCCCGAGGTACGGATGGGTGTCAGAGAACCAGGACTCGGTCAGGAAGAGCCCCAGCTCTTACTTCTCAGTACATCTGCTGCAGTGCACCAGCTCCTGGCATTTTCAGTCTGGTCTGGCTCTAACTAAAACCATTTCATGTGTTGCTTTGAAGAAATGGATAACATGAAACGGTAATTTGGCTACAAAACCTTGGAAAATTGTTCCCGGACCAAACATCTGCCCCAAATGAGCTTAGCTGAGATCTCCTTGGAGGAGTGGGAGGGGTAAGTGAGTGGAGCGAGCCTGGAGTGGGGAATGAAGACAATGGAAAGGCTACCTCTCCTCCAGAGGCATCAGAGAGACAAAGGGAGTGTCCAAGAGTTACTGCTCTGAGTCCCACTTTCCCCAGTATTTGGTATCATTAGGGTGATCCCTTCCAGTGCCAAGAAGCCATGCTCCACTGGTCAGCTTGGTTATGCAGTGAGCTGCCTGGCCTACGTGTTATCATCAAACCTTTCACTAAGGACTGTGTATTAGCTTTGTGTTCCTGAGAGCTAGGCCCCACAGGGAAAGCAGAGAGAGAGAGAGGTGTGCAGGCTGGCTGTCTTCTTCCTCCTTGGCTTTCTTAGGAGTTCTTCTGGGGGATCTTTACGGTCACAGTCTTCACTTCCGAGTACTCTCGCAAACCAAACTCTCCCCTGAAAACAGAAACGCACAGGATCAGACACCAGAGGAGGAGGCCACCCAATCTGAGCCACGGTAAAAGTCCTGGGACGGTAACAGCAAGCCTGGATTTTCATGGGAAAATTCCTCAAGGACTGACAGCCCAGCATTCCTCTGAGGGGTAGAGGAAGTTATGGTCTCCTGAACAATGAATGTTTCTTCAGGGTAATCTGTCTTCACTCCATTGCACGGAAAGGTAAGGGCTCCTAACCACACAGCGCGAGAAGCCCATGGGCTCGCCTTGGTTGGAGGTCCCAGAGACTAAGCCCTTGAGCTAAGTCCCAAGAGCTGCAGCAGTGGAGAGGCTATTATTCCATCCACAGCAGCCTTTCCTCTCCAGGACTCACTCTTCTAATCCCAGGGACTGGAGACCCTCTGGAAGGCTCTGCTCTCTAATCATTGTCTTGACCATCTGGCTGGAAGACTTGATCACATCAAGAGAATGATGAGACTCCCAGGTAGGATCTTCTCAATTTGGCATTCTAAATCCCTTTTCGTTCTCCCTTAGATTTAATAACTGGCAAATGAATAGGTAAAGGTCTACCACAAATCATCCACAACACCTTAAAAACGTAATTGTGAGGAGATACTGTCCACAGCCCCATGTCGTCAGGGAAAGAGTGAGGAAAGAGACCTGCGTCAAAGGTTTGGAAAGTGTGATTACATTTCCTCCAAGATTCTCCTTTGGCCACTTCCTCTCCTGGCTCAAAGAGCCCTCTGGGACCATGGGTAGGATCAAGGGTCATCATTTGCTCGGTAAACATTTACTGAGCTATTGCTACAGGCAGCACTGTGCTGGGCTGGAGATACAAAAGTCAGGACTGGTCCTTGCTTCTAAGTAGCCCATGGAGCCTGGGGAGGGGGACAGGAGGATCTGGGAGACTCACTCCTTCCATACTGTCCAGAGGCACGTCCCCGCTGCGGTGTGTGCTGAGACCTGTGTGCTGCCACACTCCTTTTCTTCCACTTCTCTTTCGGCCCCTACTCACCTTCGCCTCATTACAATTGCTTTTTTTTTTTTCCTACTTATGAAATTAAACATGTGCTACTTTTTTATTTTTCCTTTCCTTTCCTCCAAAGTAATTTAACTTTCTTTTCAGGTCACCTTCTCCTGATTCCCTCCGATGGTAGTTTCTCTGTACCCTGGGCTTGCACGGTACCGTGTACACATTTCTACTATGACATTCGCCAATCTCGATAATAACTACGAGGGGACATCAAAAAGTCTGTGGAAAAACTCCATTTTCTCTTAGTTCCATTTTCCATGAGCTTTTTGCAGCATCCTTGCATTTGAGTACTTGTGTTTCCCCATGAAAATGTATCTTAATCAGTTTCCCTGTTCGTCCTTCATCAATATATACAGCCTAGAGTGTCAGGCACAAAGAAGGTACTCAATGGTTGTTGAAGGAATGAATGTAAAGAAGGAAGATCTTTTATCCTTCCTTTTCTGTTCTACCCTGTTGCAATACTCTCGCCACCAGAAAACAAAACAGAAGCCTTACAGATGTATATGAAAATGAAAGGACTAAGAAACCGTGTCTTTTATAACAGCCATGTATTAGAGGTAAGTAAGGAGCACTGGTAGAGTAATGGTTATGAATAGGGCTGCTAATCTCAAGGTCAGCAGTTGGAAACTACCAGCTGTTCCGTGGAAGAAAGAGGAGGCTTTCTGCTCCTGTAAAGACTGACAGCCTCGGAAACCCTGTGTAGGGTCGCTATGAGTTGGAACCGACACCATGGCACATAGCTACCACCTAAGAGGTAAGTAGTTACTGTTAACTTGACTTTATCCTGCAGGAATCCTAATGGTCCTCCACAAGGCTTCAAATGCTTTGCCAGCAGCTCCTCTGAGCACCAAGGGCATCTGAGTGGATCCCAAGGAAGCTGCGTACCAGTCCTCCTCCATACAGAAACCAGAATCAACAATTTGGGACTGCCCTGCTCGTTGTATGTTCCCTCATTAGCTCCATCCAGCTCTGAGTCTCTTTATGACCAGCTCAGCTCTGGCTCTCTCTGGACTTTTTCCTGCCCTTGGGCAATTCTGAATGGGTCTCTTCATCAAGGACATCATGTGCCGCCTGTTTGAAGCGAGGTTGCTCCCTTCATGTTTCCTGGCTTGTGCACGCACTTGGCTGTGGCAGACCCCGGCCACACTTTCCTCCCACTCAGATTTCTAAATAGGTCATTAGGAAATGTAAGGAGGTCTACAGGATCAGAACCCTTTCAGTATGGTTGTTTAAAAGTATGGCGAGACTAGATTCCACTGTCTTTGGGTGGGTGATAAAATGGAAATTCCAGCTGGCCTGGTGGGCTCCTCTCCATGGTCTCAGGCAGTGATCTGCTGCCACGGTCTGAGACAGAGGAGTGGACCCAAAGCAGCTTTACAATAAGCTTTGCGGCCAGGTCAGGACATCAGGAATGCCAGTGAGAGGTCTGAGAGCACTGAGTGAACACAGAACACTGGAGCTGGGGGCTCCACAGAGTTCACTCCGCCACTCACTGACTGGCTCTGAGACTCGCCATGTTCTCTCCATCCGCCGGTGCCCAGACCACGTCTCCAGCAGCAGAGCTAGCACCTCAGCACACATGAATGGTACATTCCTGACCATGGTGATAATCGAGGGGTGCGGCGGCTCCAGACGATAAGTACTGCACTGAAAACCAAAGGTCCACAGGAGAAAGATGAGGCTTTCTACTCCTGAGAACAGTTTAAAAGCCTTGGAAACTCTATCTAGGGTTGCTATGAATCAGAACCAACACAATGGCACTTAACATTAACAACACAGAGATGGCCTGATTTTACATTTCTGTGGCTGTCAGCCAGTCATTTTAGGAATCACTCTGATTCATCCATGAAACAAGTATGTATTTCTGTTGGTCCTAAAGCACCATTCTCAGAGAAGGTCCCCAAAGCACCTGCATCCAAATAATTCCAGAAGCTTATTAACAATGCAGATCCTGGACCCTACCCTGAAACCAAAACCTCTTTGCCTTCAAGTAGACTCTGACCCTTCAGGACAGAATTGAGCTGCTCTATAGGGTTTCCAAGGCTATAAACCTGTACAGAAGCAGAATGCCAGGTATTTCTCCTGAGAAGTAGCTGGTGAGTTTGAATCCTTAACCTTTCGATTAGCAGGCCGGGATTTTAACCCCTGTGCCACCGAGACTCCTTAGGTCCTAGTCCAGATGTACTAAATCAGAATGTCTGAGAGTGGGTCCCTAGATAGGCAAGTAGGCAAGCCCCTTCCCCAAACTGCAGGGGTTTTTCTGTACATATGAAAACTAAACATATGCACGTATGTACTTGAACACACATATGCATATAAACTTAAGCACCAATGATTTTAAGTATTCTAATGATGGAGTCCTGTGCTATTCATAAGGTTTTCAGTGACTAAATACTCAGAAGTAGTTCGTCACTCCTTCTTCCTAGTCTGTCTTCGTCTGGAAGCTCATCTGAAACTTGTCCACCATGGGTGACCCTGCTGATATTTAAAATAGACGTGGCATAGCTTCCAGAATCATATTAACTCAGAAGCCACCACAGGACGACAAACTGATGAGTGGTGACAGAAAACTGGCTTTTCCAGCGCAGTTAAAGAGTAATTAGGAAATTATTAATTTCTGAGAGAACAAGGCTCTAGGAATTGAAGTAATAAAAATTGAAATCTTTCAAGAAAGTGAGGCAACACTGAAGGCACTCACTCATCCATGCCAAGAAATTTGGAAGACAACTATCTGGCTGATTGGAAGAGATCCGTATTTGTGTCCATTCCAAACAGAGGTGACCCAACAGAATGCAGAAATCATTGGACAATATCTTTGATATCCCATGTGAGTAAAGTTTTACTAAAGATAATACAAAAACAGCTGCAAGCATACATTGACAGAGAACTTCCAGAGGTTCAAGCTGGATTCAGAAGAGGCCGTGGTCCAATTGTTGATGTCCAATGGATCTTGGGTGAAAGTAGAGAATACCAGAAAGATGTTTACCTGTGCTTTACTGACTACACAAAGGCTTTCGATTGTGTGGATCGTGACTAGCTATGGACAACATTGCGAAGTATGAGTATTCCGGAACACTTAATTGTGCTCATGAGGTACTTGGACCAAGAGGTAGTTGTTCGAACAGAGCATGGGAACACTAAATGGTTTAAAATTAAGAAAGATGTGCGACAGGGTTGTATTTTTTCATCATAATTATTCAACCTGTATGCTGAGCAAATAATGTGAGAAGCTGGTTTATATGAAGAAAAACGTGGCATCAGGATTGGAGGAAGATTCATTAACAACCTGTGTGTCACAGATGATACAACCTTGCTTGCTAAAAGTGAAGAAGATTTAAAATATTTACTGATGAAGATCAAAGAGCACAGCCTTTGGTATGGATTGCATCTTAATGTCAAGAAAACAAAAATCCTCACCACTGGACCAATAAACAGCATTCTTATCAACGGAGAAAAGATTGAAGTTGTCAAGGACTTCACTCTTCTTGGATCAACTATCAACACTCATGGAAGCAGCAGTCAAGAAATCAAATGACACATTGCATTAGGCAAATCTGCTGCACAAGACCTTTATAAAATGTTGAAGAGCAAAGATGTCAGCTTGAAGACTAAGGTGCACCTGACCCCCCAAAGCCTTGGTATTTTCAATAACCTCATATGCATGTGAAAGCTGGATAGTGAATATGGAAAACCATAGAAGAATTGATGCTTTTGAGTTATGGTGTTGGAGGAGAATATTGAAGTGCCATGGGCTGTCAAAAGAACCAATAGATATGTGTTGGAAGAAGTGCAGCCATAGTGCTCCTTGGAGGCCAGGATGGCCAAACTTCGTCCTCCATACTTCATCTTTCATACTTGTCAGGAGAGACCAGTCACTGGAGAAGGAGATCATGTTTGGTAAGGTGGAGGGTCAGAGAAAAAGAGGAAGGCCCCCAGCGAGAAGGATTGGCCAAGTGGCAGCATCAATGCACTCAAGCGTGGCAACTATTTTGAGGTTGGCCCTGGACTGGTGTTTCGTTCTGTTGTACATAGGGTCGTTGTGAGCCGATCCTGACTTGATGGCATCTAACAACAATGATGGAGTCCTGGTGTGGCACTGTGGGCTAATGTGTCAGACTGCAAAGTCGTTTAAACTGCAAGGTCGGCGGTTCAAGCTCACCAGCTGCTCCTTGGAAAGCCTATACAGGGTTGCTATGGGTCAAAACCGACTCGGCGGCCTTAATAGCAACAACAATGATGCTCAAACCTGTCTCCTTCATTTTTAAAATGCTGAGAGTCATAGCTCTTTTTCCATCTCCTGGGCTTGGAACACATATTTTATAGCTTGTGCCTTTCTCCTCAGGGAGAGCTTCGGTGAGGATGACATTAGAAAAAGGATGGGAAGAGTGAAGCAGATGGAATTAGCTCTGCAGGAAGAGCCGAGAGACTTTCAGCTCTATCCTCTGATCTTGAAGTGAGAGGTCTGTAGATTGCATGACTCCCCATAAATATAAGTGGGGTGACCTCATTCAGGCGAGGCCAGCATGGCTTCTTGAGTGCTCTGTCCCTGCTCCTCTCCTCAGTTCCTCTTACAGCTGGGCAGGGAGGTGCAGGGACTAAAGCTGCACGTAATTTGCAGGCTGTTAGGCAAACAACTCTGTAGTAGAAGATGGGTTAGGTGAAGATTCTGGGACTGTATCAAAGAAGAAGGGAGAGCGGGGACAGGGAGAGAGCAAGCTCTCTTATTGGAAGCATCTTCTACCATTCTAGGTCACTTAAGGAAGAGAAAACATGTTTTGTGGGCCAAGTCAGGACAAAGAACCATGTAATTTAGGCAAGATGATGAAAGTCTCATCAAAGAACATCTATTTCCTAATTACCTTTTAGCTGCACTGGAAAAGCCTAGGACACCAGAGAGGCTATACTGTTTAGTTTCTGGGGCCACTGCTGGGTACGATCCTGACACAGCCAAACTATCTCTGGGCCTTCTTTCCAGGCAGGGAAATGCTTCCTGGTGGAGTGGGCCTGCTCACGATCAAGGTCCAAATCTAGCCATCAACCAATGACTATTACTACAGTCTATTTTTGCCCATGAGTCGCACCTCTAATTATCTGCAACAGAGCAGGCAGTGCAAGCAGAGTGCCCATTGCTGGTGACTGCCCGAATGCTTCAGAGGCCAGGAGAGCACAGAAAGAGTCAGGAAATGCAGTAACACATTGGATGCAGCTTAAAAAGTGGCAGCAGAAACAGGTTAAGAAGAGATCCCCGGAGCATATGAAGATGCTATAAAAGTTGAAGAAATATTAGTAACTGAGCAAACAGGTTGAGTTATGGCGTATGGCTGTCAAGCAAGGAAGGGACCCTGGAGGCCAGAAAAGAAAGGTGCTATCAGGAAGTTTTCCCCTGGCATTTCCAAAGACAGAATATAGACAGGTAACACTGGATGGAATTAAGGAAAAATTCTGCTATACTCCCAAAGTAATATGTTGATGAACTACACAACACTCATCTACTTGATAGGGCTTGCCAGACACTTGGCTAGGTGTTTTACATACTTAACTCTAACATTTACTCTCTGTAGCAACCCTGTAGGATTCGTACCTTAATTATTCCCATTTTACAGATGAGAAAACTGAGGTTTAGTGAGAGTCAGTCAATGTATTCAAGGATGCAAGGGTGGCAGTTCAGGCCAGAATTCAAATTCAAGCAGTGTGATTTTAGAAACTCAGCAGGAAGAACAGACGTGGCAGATTGTTTTCTGTGTGTCTCAGGATTTAGGAACTATGGACTTGGCTCCTTTCAAAAGTCAGGCAAATATTTTTAGATGGTAGTAGTCAGCTCAGGGAGACTCTGGCCACCATTCACTCTCTGATCATTCAAAAGATTCCATTTGTCTATGAATGCTGCAAGTACAACCCCCCAAGTCTACTTTTCCTCTGCCACAGTCCCCTCTTTTAGGTCCTCATCATCTCAGGAAGCTCTGTCCAGCTCTCATTCTGTCCCCAAGACTCCTTAAGCCTGGCCTCCAGACTTCGTTGGCTGGACATCATGAGAGTTAAGTGTATAGATTTTGGTCACAGCCCAGACCTGCCACTGACTGGCTGGATGATTTGGCAGGCTAGTAACCACTCTAACTAGGTTCCTTATCTGGACCCTCTGTAATATGAAGGTAGTTATGTCTGTCCACAGGATCATTGTTAAAATCAAATGAGACAACGCTAGAAAACAATTTACCATATAGCTAGATACACAGTAGACAATCACTTGATGACATCTATTAGTGTTACTGCAAAATGCTTCTAAGGGGTTTTTTCCTATAGTCTCTGCAAGACACCCTCCATACCTCAGAATTCTTGGTCTTAAAATCATTGGCATTTCCTCAGCACCCACAAATGGTATAATATTTAAAGTCTTTTGAGATTTGATTTAAATCAATGTTTCCAATTATATCGTTAGCAAGTTCCCTCCATTCAGCTAATGCCCTAACCCTACAACCACAAATTTACAGAACCCACAGGGGCAGAGCAGGTGAAAGGAGTGAACTGGGGGGATGCAAAATCAATGACCACCAACACTCAGCACATAGGAGACCACAGGAGCATACAGAGCTCATGGGTCCAGAAACTGTGCTATGGGGGAACAAAAACCAACAAGAAACCTTGAGTTTATATAAAGTGTCTTCCTTTTTAAATGTCAATTGAAGATTAATAAAATTGTGAAGGCAAAAAAAAATGTTTGAAGCATGCCAAATTCCATTCTGTTCCCTGACTATTCTTCATGCTTTAATTTCTATTATTCCTTCTGCCTGGAATGCCTAACTCTCTAATACTGAAATATTATTTCTTCTGTGAAGTCTTCCTGACCCTGTCCATCTGACCATACATCTATAATAACTCGTTATATGGAATTGCTAGTATATTCATTTTTCTCCAGACCCACTTAAGTTAAAAGGATTGTGTCTTACCTGCCTTTGTAACATGTAGCACAGAGCAGCACATGGTAGCATGTGCTCAGTAAGTTTAATGAATTATTAAGAGTGAGGGAATGAAACTATTCTGTGAGTACTCTGTGCTGACAATCAAAACACCCATGTCAGAATGCTAATAATACAATGTGCCAGCAAGTTTGGACACTTACATTTCTCTCCCATTTCCAGACATCTTGAATCCCCCAAATGGGCTCTGGGCATTTAAGGCATTGTAACAATTGATCCTGAAAGAAGAACATACAGTACTGTGAGTTACTAGGAATTCTGCCTGTGCAGTGTGGTATAATATGTCTTCTAAAAGTCTCATTTTTAATTCCCTTGTACAGATGAAAATGTTATCATTTAAACTGTACTTGATTTCTTGACCTAGCCCATCTTAGGGTAAAGTCTGCTTGCCTAAAATATATTTACATAAAATATTTACTGTTCTTATTCTTCAGAGAATTATAAGGATCCTATATTGGTGTTGTGGGATAATGCACTGGACTGCAAGGTCACGAGCTGGAGCTGACTCGATGGAACTTAACAACAACTTACCAACACACAGTAAAGGGCCCTGGTGGTACAGTGGGTTATATTGAGCTGCCAAGTCCAAGGTCAGCAGTTCAAAGCCACCTGCTGCTCTGCAGGAGAAAGAGGAGGCTTTCTGCTCCTGTAAAGACTTATAGCCTCAGAAACCCTGCACATAGACATCAAGAGTCAGAATCTACTCCATGGTGGGATGTTTGGGTTTGGGTGTATCACCAGTGGAATGCATTACATGTGGCTAGAACAATGAGACTGACTCTCGTCTTACCAAACAGTCCCAGCTTGCATTGCAGATGACACTGTGAGGGCCTTGTTGATGTCACTGGTGAAGACAGCTGCTACCAGTCCAAAGTCTGAGTTATTTGCTCTTTCAATAACTTCATCCATAGTCTTAAACCTCAGAATTTCCTGAACAGGGCCAAAGATCTGCAAGAGAACAGTTTGGTTGCTTCACCACACCTTTATCTGCTTTCCACATGTCAAAGCAAATTTACCCTGTCTTGATTATTTACATGATATTTAAGTTTAACAGTACAAAGTGGTAAAATATCCCAAACTTCCCCAGACTAAGATTTTATAAGAGTCCAATTCTAAGAGCCTAGCTTGATTTCACTGTGTGCAGCACAGGTGTGTTCTCTAGGTACAGAAGAGAAACAGGCATTCTCTACGAGAGCCCCCAGGTCTGGTCTAGAGAGTTGAATGACCTGGTCCCTCCCCTGCATAAATGTGAGGGCCCTTTCTCCTGTTGGTTAATATCTAGCAATCCACAGTTGGGATAAATGCCTACTGCCGGTTTATTAATGAGGCTAATGACTTGGCTATTATGATTGTTCTGAGGGCCAATAGTGATTGCAATCTAATAGCATTGTCACCTAGCCTATCTTCTAGCTTGTTTTTCAATTGAACTTTTTTCTTGAAACTGAGATTTTTCATAGCCATCTACACTGTTATCACAGAGTTCAGAGGAAATTAAAAGAGCTAAAACTCCAATACTGTCTACTAGCAATGTTCTGGAAACCCTCACAAGAAAGACTTGGTTTTTGTAAGGACACTGTATTTGATACCTCCTCTTTGGCAATTCGCATGTCATCAGTGACGTTGGAAAACACCGTGGGCTCGATGAAGAAGCCCTTTCGGCCTAGCCCTTTGCCTCCACATTCCAACTTGGCGCCCTCAGCGACACCACTCTGGATGAGTTCCAGGATCTTGTTGTACTGCTTCTTATCAATCTACAGAAAAGACAGCTAATGACTCCAAGGACAATCTTCCATGAAAACAGAAACATGCATTTTCTCAAGAGTTTCTCCTTTATGATCTTTTCATAGATTCATAATATCTGGTTAAATAATATGAAACTTTTCTAACCATGTTGACCCACAAAAGTAGGAACTAGGCATTGGAAATAATATAAAGAGCAACATGCCCTGAATTTCCAGGAACTGTATTGTTGAATCCAAAGGACCGCGGACAGCGTAGAGAGCTGCTAAGTGGTGGAAACACTGGCTGGTTTATCATTTACTGCTTATCTGGGGGGAAACTAGCCTCCAAAATCAGGTGAATAATTTCACAAGGTGCATGAAAACAGCAGATGAACTAACTCAAACCCTCTTTAGTTGGTATAGCACACAAACCCTATTTGGGGTGTTTTTAAAGGAAACTCTGTGATACTTTTAGAAGCAAAGAGTATGTATATAAACAGTGATGACTGGCTTCCTAGTCCACAAAAGGTGCTCATGTATTGCAAGCTCCCCTGCCACCCACCCCCACAAAAAAAAACCTACAAAAAACTGATAGTGCCATTATTCAATTATGATAAATAATATAAAAAACAATACCCCCCGAATCTGTATTGCTCAACTAGGACACCAATCTTCTTTCACATGGTCACAAAACTAAGGAGATGTTATCCCTTATCCAAAAAAAAACCATATTTTTTTTTTTTTTTTGAGAGATGGCCCAGATATTCTTTTGAAAATTCATAGACTCTTATCTACAGTTTAAAACGACAATTCCATTTGGGAAAATGATTTGAGAACCTGCCAGGTTAAAGAGTGGCAGCTCAGAAAAGGGACTTTTGTGCCCCCTTCTCTCCAGGGCACCACAGTGTGTGCAGCATTCACTTCGGACACATTTATAAGCTATGAGTGATCCTCCCAGACTGGCCCAGACAGGTGAAAGAACCCTTGGGTGCTGAGAACAAGAGATGCTCTCCTTGTCTGGAAGCTCAGTGGCTAGAAGACTGGGATCTAGTGCCATACTTCATCTTGTCATGCTCGGCTCTTTCTTTCAAACTAAGATACCCCAAACATTCAAAATGCCTTTAAGGCAGCCCTAACCTCCAAAGTTTTTCCAGAGATATAATTTAGAAAGGGAAGAAGAAAAAGAAACATGCCATCCTTCAGTGGTTTCACAGGTGTAAGAGCAGAGAGCACAGGAAAATGGAATGTGTTGTTTTGTTGGGTCCCACTAGAGTGTCCAATTTCTGTGCTAGCTATATGAGTTTTCTACCTGGGGTCCCTGCTCAGTGGTGGGGTCAAAGGGACTCCCAACAATGCGCCTCTTGGCCCGCTCCACACTTCTTCGCACAAACTCCTCATAGATGGACTCCTCCACGAAGATGCGTGAGCCCGCGGTGCAGCACTGGCCTTGGTTGAAGAACACACCCTGGTGAGCCTGCTCCACAGCGTAGTCCACTATAAGAAGAAACAGCCAGGTTCTCAACACAGCTTGGCCCGCGACGGGCGGTTTACAGGCAAGGCCTCTCCCCCACTCCAACAGCACACAATGGAAAGGAAAAGCAAGAAGTCAGCCCTGATAGTGAAAAGTACTGCACTGAAAACGCAGTTTGGTTCACTTCTAACGCGACCCTATGTGTGAACTGAAGTGACTTCACTTCTTGGAGGCTCTTTTCTCTTCTGTACGAAGAAAGATCAGATCGGATCATCTATAACAGGCGTCTCCAATTCCAATGTGTGAAGGAACTAAGCAGTTAGTGTAAATGTGTGAGTCTAGTTGGGTGGTAACAACCGTAATGGACACAGTAAGGAGGGAAGCCATTGTTACAGGGAGCTACTGCCATACATGAGTATAAGCCCAGTGCTGCCAGATCTTCCCATTTTTAACAACAACAAAAAACCAGAAATCAGTATTTTTAAATGTGTTTTCTGCTTTTCTTAAAACTAACAAACGAACGAAAAACAACACTCTGTAGGCCAAATAAGATATTGGACCGTGGAATGCCGGTTTTCAATCCCTAATCAACAGGAGCTTCAATGTTAATTAGTATTTTGGCTATTACCATATTTTCACACTAATAACATGAGCATTATACATTTTTGCAAACTGCACAACTCCCTTGCATATTAGCTTTCTATGCACACTATGTGCGTTATTTGAGTAGGTGTTTTATATGCAAAAATATGGTAAAATATATCAGCAATGGGTCTTCTTTGAAGGCACTAAATTCCTTCCCTATCAGAGTAAGATTCTGTAACATAATCTCATTTCCATCTTTTATATCTTGTACTTCAAGACAATACTAACAAATCCGATCTGTTCTAGATGCTAAATGACCAAGTGAACGACTAAGAACCAATGTATGTCACGTCAATGAGTGCTTACTCCTCCAGAGACTTTCAGGTCATTTCTACTGCCCTTTACAGTGACAATAAGGTGGAATTCTGCAAAGTCCAGGCTGGGGCTGATTTCCAGGTGGTAAAATTGGGTAAGCAGCTCTTCCTGGCAGGATGTGAGGTAGCGGAAGGGTGACTAAAGGAGACTATGGAATTTCATTCCCTAGTTGTTTTTGTTACGTGTCATCGAGTTCATTCCCTAGAGAGCTTTTAAAAACAGAACGAACACACCTGTGCACAATGGCTGAGGCGGCATCCTGCTTGGAGACATGGGATTAACTAAATGACTGCTCTGTTGTTGTTGGTCTTGTTGTTAAATGCTGTGGAGTTGGTTCTGACTCACAGCACCTCTACATACGGTTTCTGAGGCTATAAATCTTTGCAGGAATAGAAAGCCTCATCTTTCTCCTGTGGACCTTGTAGTTCGCAGTCCAGTGCTTATCCTACAGAGCCACCACGTGCCCAGGTTATTGCTCTAAGCCCCCATGAAGTAGGTCTATTCATACAGAACTGACCTGAGGATTCTGTCATCCTATCTGAGAGTTAAGGAGAGCAGCAGAAAGGTGTTGGGATGGTTAAACAGGGAAGGGGCCGTAGGTTTGGGAAAATACTGGCAGCACTGCTGAACTGGGATTTATTTTTAACAATCTACAAAGCCACCAGACACGGTTGAGAAGTTTCAGACTTCTTAAAACTAAGTAGACTGGATTTCAGGTGTTCAAGAGGCTGAGCTGCTTGCTTTGCCCACTGTGCAACACTGAGCAACCCTTCACCTCTTACACCCTATTCTACAGCCTCACAGCATCAAAATAGCTCATAAGACTCTAGAAAACAAATTCTTTGTTCAGGCATTAATCGATAACTGCTCTTTCCCTAATATTAAACTTTTTTTTTTTTTAGAAGCAAGGAGAGTCAATTGAAGCAAGATTCAATTCTTCTTGAATGCTCCCTAGGTTCAAAGACCTTTTTCTTGGTGTCTTATCAAAGTGGAGATACAAAAGAAAGCACCAGAGAGTAGTTCTGTGGGTACATGTCTGAGATATGTGGTTGACTTACAATCAGCATCAGCAAAAATTATATTGGGACTTTTCCCTCCAAGTTCCAGAGTTACTCTCTTCAAATTACTTCTTCCAGCTGCTTCTTGGATAAGCTTTCCAACCTGACAGAAAGATAATGAAGAGAGGTATCAAACGTCTTGTGGTCCACACTATCTATCAGTAGCCACAGCTGGCTCTGGGCAACGATAAGATGTGCAGTAACAGGTCTTACAAGGTAAGCTTACCCACTGAATAACACAGGGACAGCTAATTGTGGTCAACCTGATTACACAAGATAGAAGTTGGTTGAGACGCCATTTAAAGTCCGTGCTGAAGTGACTTGGAAGATTGCTTTAATTTCATGACAGATGGAGCAAGGAAAGGGGGATCAAAGCTGGAATTGTAATCACTGAAAGATTTCTCTAAAGACGAGTGACAGGCAAGATGTAGTAGAGATTTCTATCACAGCATTATGGCCTGGCCTCCAGAAAAGCCAAACTGGCTCCACTTAAAAGGAACGATGGTTGTAAAATAAATTGTTCCAAGAATCCCTCAAAATGCCAGGTATGACTTTTATCACATGGTTTTAATATTAGACCTTTGCTTCTGCCTAGGGTTATAGTAAAAGAGTTCCAGACGGCTGAGGATCTGTTTTTATTGGTGTGTTATGGTAAATGTCTGTTTACATAGAGTACAAACAAATAATGGCTGAGTTTGGGAAAAGCATTTGCCATTGAGTAGACTCACATTTCCAATAAAATTGAAACTGTCAAAACGGAAACAAGGATGCACCACCTAGATATCCCCTTTAGGTAGAGCTTATTGCTCCAGTCATTGGCCATACTGTTAGGAGACAGCCTCCTGTCCTCTCCTTCAGGGTCTGCTCAGCTGACAAGAGCTGCCTGGCCCAAGGAGATTTTCTCTCAATGACTGAGAGTGGCAAGGCTGTAATGACCTACTCTTTATATCTTTCTACCTTTATACCAAGGAGCTCTGGTAGCGTAGTGGTTACGAATTGGGCTGCGAACCTTGAGGTCAGCAGTTCAAAACTACCAGCTATTCCGCGGGAGAAAGATAAGGCGTTCTGCTCCCGTAAAGATTGACAGCCTCGGAAACCCTGTACAGGGTCGCTATGAGTCAGTTCCGACTCCACAGCACACAACCACCACCACCACCACCACCTTTATACCACAGGACAACTCTGAGGGACCACAGACTAAGTGTCAGGCCACATTGTAGCTGGCCTTCCCATTGTGCCCCATTCCCTTCAGCAGGGATCACTAATACACATCCCGTCAAAGTCCATCTCCTGACTGCTTATAGCGAACGCCACCCATCACAGAGTGCTGCTGCTGTTCAACTGGAGAGCAGAGGTTACTGTATGGAAGACATTGGACCATCAGGTAGGCTTCTAAGGAGCTCTGGTAGTGTAGTTGTTACAAGTTGGGCTGCTAACCTCAAGGGTAGCAGGTGGAAACTCCCAGCTGTTCCACAGGAGAAAGGTGAGTCTTTCTGTTTCCATAAAGATTTCCTGCCTCAGAAACCCTAGGCAGGGACGCTATGAGTCACAACCAACTCCAAGGCACACAACTACCATGTAGTCTCCTAGAGGCATGGTGATCTTGTGGGAATGAAACTTGCTTTTTATGTCTGAAATCCTATTGAAAAATGGAATACTTTTAAAGTCTGGATAAAGAGAAATGTGCAGTTTACATTTGATTTCCACTGGATCCTTAAGCAGGACTGATGACTCCTCTGGCAGTACAGAGCCATGTTAAGAGAGAAGGCTCCACCTGGATTTTATGTTTTTTTTTCCTTTTTAACTGATTCTATCACTTATCAGTCACTAAGAGTCGGTACCGACTCGATGGCACCTAACAATAACAACATCACTTATCAGGCGTCCTGGCGTGGCACTGTGGGTTCATGTGTCAGACTGCAAAGTTGTTTAAACTGCAAGGTTGGTGGTTCAAGCTCACCAGTTGCTCCCTGGAAACCCTATACAGGGTCGCTATGGGTCGGGATTGACTTGACGGCACTTAACAACAACAACATCACTGATCAACTGTCTGATCTGGGGGAATTTACTTAACTTCTCTGAACCTTGGTTAGCCTCCTTTGTAAACTGAAGCTAAAATAGCTCAGGAGTCAGTTGCTCTGAAGGGTTAGTGATTTCATCCATATGGCACTTAGAATTCAGCCTGCCACACAGTAAGTGCCTGAACATGCTCACTTCATGATGGGACACAGTAAAAGTGCCCAAACACGCTCACCTCATGATGGGAGAAGTCAAGGGCCCTTTCTTCTTCCAGGCTCAAAAGAGATAAAGAGATGTGACTATCAGAAGAGATACTGCTAGGCCTTCCAATGTAGGTCCCTTCCAGACCTCCAAAAGTGTCTGTGCATATACGATGCTTCAAGAAAACACGAGAGAAATGTTTCCACTTCCCTCAGGCTCCAAAACTACTCATTAACTCAATTAAATACATTTGTGCTTTCACGGTTACTCTGCTTATTGCAACAAAAGTTTTGCGGTAACTGTGTTCTTAGCTACCATCCAGTCAGTTCTAACATATGGTGGTGACCCCAAGTGTGCAGAGCAGAACTGCTCCACACGGTTTTCAAGGCTAAGATCACTTAATGAAGCAGATCACTGGGTGTGTCTTCTGAGGAGTCTTTGGGTGGGTTCAAACTACCAATCTTTTGGCTAGTAACGAACCACTTAACTGTGTGTGCCAGCCAGGGAACTCTTGAGATAGTTATAAGGTATCTCTTGAGGCTGTTTTAAAAAATAGATACTCATTCTGACCAACAAGTGATGTCTCTGAAAAAGACAGAATTGAGTGTCTTAGGTTGCAGAGCAGCGCTACTGACCAAGGTGTTAGGAAATGCTCACTTCTGGCCCTGAAAGATTAATGTGGAGCTAGAGCCCACCAGCCAGATTCCTCCTTCCCTGCCCTTCCAGTCTTTCTTCTGCCTCCAAATAAACTCCCCAAGGACACTGTGGGCTCAATAAAGGACCTGCTATCAAGTCAGGAGAAGGAACTGCTTTCACACAGGAAAGAGCACAGCAGTCAGGTGATAAATATGACTGGTGTCTGGGACCCCTACCAAGAGAAGAACCCACCTGAAGGGCAATTCAGGAAACATCAACACCTTAACTTGATGCCAGCAGCAAGAGGGAGTCTCTGATAACACTACCACCTATGACTGTCTGTTTTTCAGAGGGATTTTAGCCTGCGTTGGCTCTCTGAGGAGAAAAGATGTGGCAGGCTGCTCCCAGAAAGATTACAGCCTTAGCTACATTATGGGGGCAGTTCTACGCTGTCCTTTAGCATCTCCATGAGTCAAAACCGACCCAATGACAATGGGTTTGGTTGGTTCTCTCTGCCTTAAGCAAGCATACTACTAGATGGGGATACATTTTAAAATCTAAAAAGATAAACAGATAAGTATTCACTGGAATTCATGAACATGTATTGATCTTAAGAAAAGCTAACATTTATTGATGCAGTGTGTCAGATACATGAGATGGCGTCATACCAGTTCCATTATTTTTCCATGAACTTTTTGAAGCTCCCATATGTGTATGTATGAACTCATATTTAATTCTCTCAAAACCCACAGGAGATAGGTGCTATTTTATTTTAAAGATGAGAAAACGTAATTAGATGTTGAAGAGTGTAACCAGGCGACCCATCTAGTTAATGACAGAGCCTGATGGTCTCTAAGGAAGTGTGTGGATCGCAAGCCACCCGCCTCCTTGTTTTCCTTTCCCTCAGCATTCTGCTCTTCTTTCTGCCTTCCTCTCTGCATTTACTGAACACCACCTGTATGTCACATGTCACTAAAACCTTATCCCTGAGCTCTAAGCTGATTTCAGAGCAAGTAGAAAAATCACTTCTTGTAGGCTCAAATAATAAAGAAGAACTATGACCTCTACTGGTTTCTGTGGTGTAGTGGTTATCCGGTTTGATCTCTGGTGGAAACACACATGCTCTTTTGTAGGAGCTCTGATGGCACTGTAGGATGAACACTGCACTGCTAACTGAAAGGTCGGTAGTTCAAACCCACCAGTGACTTTGCAGGAGAAAGACAAGGCTGGCTGCTCCTGTGAAGATTTACAGCTTTGGAACTCAGAGGGTTTGCTGAATCAGATTTAACTTGCTGGCAGTGAGTTGGTTTTCTTTCTTTTGAGGCCCAAATAATAATCATAAATCATCATTTACAAAATTTATATTTACTGTCAGATTTACATTTAAAAAAAAAAAACAACAACGGGGCAATCAAGGGTCTTACACAAAGGATGATGCAGAATAAACGCTGCTGGTGGTAACCAAGTGCTGATATAGCCCGCAGTGCATTTCTGTTAGTCCTGCTCCCAGACAGTCTTCAGAATGCTGCTTTGAGAGGGTTCTTTTTGCTGCTGGGAATGTGGCTCAGTGCATATTTTCATGGCTACAGTAATTATGCAAACACCTTGCTTAGCTTAAGGTCATCAGAGGAGAATACCTGTGTCAAGACTTTATCAACCTTCCCTTAGAAACCACATTTGTACTAAACAATTACTCCAATGAGTAATGTCTTTTCTCTTCATTTTTGGAAGGTCAGGTTCCAGCCCAAGAAGAACTAGGTAAGTTTGGCCCTGGGAGAACCTTTTCTAACTGGACTGACCTCAGGGCAGTCCTGAAAAGCCCCATTTTCACCAATCTCCCTCACTCAACACATATTCATAGCTGTCCTACTATGTGCCAGGTGTAAACTTGGGCACAATTTCTTACTGACAAGGAATCCAGTGAAAAAGATGGACTTCCATATAACCTAGCAGCTACTAAGTAAATGCGGCTTCACAGTTCACTGAAAGAGAAATCTGGGTGTGGCACTGCAGGATCAGCACTGGACTGTGAGTCACAAGGTTAACAGTTCAAACCCACCCGTTGCTCCTCAGAAACCCTATAAAGGGTCAGAACCAAGTCAAAGACATCTAACAACAATTTATTATTAGATTGAAGCAGATTACATTATCATTCTGCAGTACTCTATTAGGACCCAGAGTCAGGTCACTCTGATCCTTACACACTGGGTTAGATGGAACCAACACTACCACTGCCTTCCAGTCAGT